AGATGCTCCAGCCAACAAGATTCAACACGAAAAGTAAATTAAGCATCTTATTAAACTTTTATAGACACCATGAAAGAAAATTCCACTCGGCTAGATCCTTGAACACATCATTAAAAGTCCTCTCTGGACCAGCATTCGCTGTCCCCTGAGTTTCCTGAAACAGGCTGAATTGTCCAAATGTACTTAAGAGGCAGTTGCGATAGCCCTACAAGCAGGTGACAAAATCCCAGTGAACCGGAAGGTGTTAAAACAACATGCAGGTTTCATCCCTGTGAAAAAAGCCAAGTGGTTGGAGGGTCTGCGTGGGTTTGGCTTGTATATGGTGCAGTCGTTAAATAAAAAGGTACTTACTGGAGTGACGACAGAGAATCAGATCGGATGAAACTGTATTAAAGAAAAGCCCCAAACTAAAATGCATTTTAAGCACCTCTCCCCAGTCCTTACCTGAACCCAGAAGGGGAGCTTACAATAAACCATTAACATTTGTAAACGGACACACACTGCGCTATGCGTGTGAATGCCTCCCTCCCCCTATGCAGCTTTTCAGGCCAATGATAAATGGCCTGAGAGTCCAACTTGGTGTCTGGTGAATATTAATGGAAGCTGCTTTGTGGTGGTGACAATTGAGGACGAGCCCTGGCAAGCCGCGCCTTCTGCTTTGCCAGTCTGCATTCTTCTTCTGAGTCAGAAGACCCCACTGGGTCACTTCAATACGGTTGCCATAGCCCCTGGGGCCAAGCAAGGCTTTGGGCCAATGGGCAGGTGGAGTGATAAGACTCTGACTTCGGGAGAGGGAGCGAGGGGACAATGTAAGGAGGGTGGACTTAGCTCCCCTTCTGTGGATTGTGATCAAATCACCAGCTAAGGTATCAGAGACATAAAGCAATTGCCCAAAACAGTGGCTTCATGACCCACTATCCCGGTTTGAACAGCTTGTGGCCAGTGGTCCCTCTAATGTTTTCCATCCATGAGCGGAACACATTTTGTTCTGTGCAGCAAAGCACAGGCAGACGTGCACCACTCATGCTGCCAGCGGTGGGAGGTTGTGGGACCTTTGCTAAACAGCTGGGTGGCATTTAAATCTCTTTTGGGCGCCCTCCTCCACCCACTCAACATGCACAGCTGTTGCTGTAACTGGGCAGTTCTTACAAACAAATGACTCAGAAGGCTGCAGCTGGCCAGGCATGTGTCTTGCCTATTCTAGTAGGAGGCTCCAATGCAGCAATAGAAACACATCACCAAACAGCCCTGCAGTGGGACTCTTCCATTGACTTCAGGGAACTGTACATTAGCCACTGGGTGGTACCTCAAATGGCATGAACCAAACAAGTCAGAAAAGGGGCCACATTTCCATAATATGCAGATAGGGAGCATAAGAAACCCTGGAAGCGTCTCTTCCTTAGCTGCAGCTCAAGAGTCTGGAAGCTGGAAAAAGGTTAAATGCTTTTATTTGAGTAGCGTCAGATGGTTTTACAAATAGATTTTAAAATTTTGAAATATCCAGAGGGGGATCGTTACAAACAAAACTATCCCCCATCAAAGGGACAAGGCCGTCAGCAATTAAAATGAAAGTGTTAGCTCTCACTTTAAAAACCACGTCTCGACCAACATTCTCCTCCTCCACCCACAAAATGCACATTTAGGCTCAAACAAACGATAATCCTGACAAAAATAAAACTAAAAATAAAAAAGGTTATAAAATGAAAAAAAATATTCTGTTCAGGTTGGGTTCAATTCTAAATATGTTCATCTAAAAATGTATATATATATATATAGATATAGATATCTATCTTTTTAAAACAAAATCTTGCCTGGCAGTGCATAACAGAAAAAAAAAAGTAAAATGCATCCTGACGGTGCTGTGTACAGCAGCTTGGTCAAAATCTCACCTACCAGGGTCAATTCTCTTTCCAAAGGACTAGTAGCCTTCATTTTTGCTACCACAGAGCTAAACAAAGTCAATAGAAGACATTTCCTGCCTGTTTTCTAGCACCTTCCTCCTCTCCCCACATTAAGTTCTGAAATAATACTTGGACAGTTTGTACATCGGGACAGACTGGTTTAAAAAGCACTGCCTCTAAGCATGGAAAGATTTCTTCCTCAGCATAAAGAACCAAGGTAACGGGGACTTTCACTGGAAACTATAAGATCAGGCTGGGCAGTTGACTCTGCTGGTTAGATGATTAACACAGAAAACGGCTATGCTGTTTTTGACTCTCGGGAAGAAAAGACACCCTCAGACACCTCTTCAGGAAAAACAGCCCAGGGGCCAGATTTTAAAGCCAGGTTTCCCTTTATGGACCTGCAGTTTGCAAGAGCAAGCAGCGGTGGGCCCTGGGAGCGTCATGCAGAGGTTTACCTGGCAGGCGGAAACCATGTGGCTTGAGCACACAGATAACTGCAGGGGCAAACCGGTGATCAGATAGAAAAAAAGGCTGCAAAAACAAAATGAGCCACCCCCAAACCCTAGACCTGTGAACTGTAACCGGCTCGGCACGCCACTGACTCTACTAGGCTGGCTCTGATTTGGATGTCCAATCCACTGGCATCCATTTCTTCACAGCCAATCTCTTTGGTTGCTTTATCATCCACAGGGGTGAAGAAATGTTATCTTGCGTGTGGGCATTTCATGCTCTTGGGTTTTCAAGTTTTGCTTGGACAGGAATGTAAGCATCGACCTTGTTCAGCGCTTCCCAGCATTAAAGTTTCAGCATGAAGAAAACCTCAGTGTCCTGGTTAAAGTCCGTTTGGTTCTTTAGCTGCGGCGTAAACAGAGGGGGGGAAGCTGAGTCCATACAAACCCCTCTCACCACGCAGCAGGCTCCCTCGGGGTTTCCCCTCTCCTCAATGGGGCTCCCGTTGATCTGACTCAGGCTTTGCAGCCGCTGCCTCTCCTGGGCTTGCTTGGCCCGGTTGGCAATGTACCGCACCCTGCTCTGGCTGCGGGAGGAGGACCTGCGGAGGAGCAAGCCCTCCGCTTCCTCCTCGGATTCAACTGGCTCCAGGCTAGTGGGGGAGGTGATGTCATTTTCCTCCTGAAAAGCCATCAGCTTCTTCAGCTGCTCGGTCAGATGGTCCTGGGGCTTGGCCGAAGACCGTGTGCCCGAGAAGCGGCGCTGCTCTCGCATCGACCTAGTGACGAAGCTCCGGCTGATGCTCCGGTACTTGCTTTCAAAAGTGCATGCGATGTCGTCGGAGGTGAGATCCCCAAGGCTCTTGGATTTTGCCTGGCCAGTTCCAGCTCTATCTTGGGCTTTGGACTTGAGAGACGACTGTCTGAGACTTTCCATGTAGAGTCTGCTCCAGGTATGCCTCCTGGGGATGGAGGCCAATGTATCTTGAGGAACCCTGGCCAGAGGCCTGGGGTTCAGCTCATCCATGGGCGTCTGGTCCGCCCGCAGGTTGGGATTGGATTTGCTCTTGGTCACCACTGGCATTTCGCTCCCAGAGGTCGTTGCAGACCGGGGGCGCATGGCCTTTCTCACAGCAACGGTCTCACTGTTTTCGCGATGGGTCCCGAGATCCGGAAGGCTTTTGCGAGCGAGGTTGGGCAGAGAGAGGTCTATCACAGTGTCGTTGGAGGACATGCTGGAGGAGGAAGACACGCTGTCCCGGTGACTGCTGGCATCTAGCTTGCTCCAGATCTGGTCGTGGACAGTGGCATCGGAGTACACTTCTGCGGTCGGGGAGAGGCTGTTGGGATTTCTCGTGAAGGCGGAGGAGTCGGAATTCTTGGGCCCTTCGCTTTTGGACCTTCTCAGTAACACGTGAGAGCTGGTCAGAGAAGCAGCAGCAGCCGGAGCCTGAGCAGGCTGGATTTTCTGGAAAACTGCTGGAGGCAAAGTCGGCTGTGTGCTGCTGTTCCTGTGATGTATCTGGGGTGGGCTAGTTGCGGCACCATCCTTCTGGCTTACAGATTCGGCAGCGTGGTTCCCATCAGGTAACACTGGACAGTCGTTTGGCTTCTGGCAGTTTTCAGTGGAACGGACCGAAGCATCACTCAGTGCCAACATCCCCCCGCTTTGTTGAGGACACGCTGCCAAACTAGACCGATCTCCACCACTCCCGTGGGTCTCTCCGCAGTCACCCCCATCTTCGAGTGGTCCCTCGCTGCGTCCACTTTCATCTTTCAGGCCCAACAGGCTTGTGGCTGCTGCCCTGGGACTTACAACCGTTTGGTCTTCTGCTGGTGGCTCATGAGCAAGAAGAGCTTTCTCAGGCTGGTCAGCTGGGCTACTTCCTGCCGATCTAGATTCACTGGGATGATGAGACACCGACCCTTGTTCAGAATCACTAGTAGAGGTATCAGGCAGAAAGGTGCAGGGACCAGCACGTTGTTTTCCATTGGCAAAGCCGGGCTCTTCGGTGATAATTTCTAGACTGCATAAAGAAGTGACTGACCTCTGCATGGAGAGCTGGCAGACATCTAGTGGGAGGGAGAGAAAGAAAAATATGTGGGAGATGTAAAAACCAAAGCAAAGGATTAACAATGCAGATTCACTAACACAAGATCCCTTTGCTATGAAAGCAATCATTTCTTAGCTAGGCTGGCCGAAATCTCCAAAAGTAACTCATCGGGCAATGCTCAGAGAGCACCGAGACTCCAATCTGAGACATGCAAAACCCACTACTCACTTCTGACCCTCTTTGTAGCGTGTTACTTTGCCCATCATCCATACCCAAAGAGGAGCCGCGTTTGCCTATCTTGCTGCCTGCAGCCCTGCTCCCCTCTGTACTGAAGAAGTGGGCTGTGCCCACAAAAGCTCATGATCCCAGCGACATGTTCTGTTAGTCTTTAAAGTGCTGCAAGACTATTTGTTGTTTTTTAAGTTTTCTCTGTTACAGACTCACTCGGCTGCCCCTCTGAAATCCCTCTGTACTGAATATTTGAACTGCTCTAGCCTTCTGCAGCCCTAAGAACCAAAGCAAAGCAAACCAAAGTCAAGACACTTGCTGGTTGACCCAGTGGGGACGTGATTGGAATCCATTATATTTCAAGAGATGGTGCAGGGGCAGCGGAGGAGATGAAAACTTGAAGCGATTTATAAAAAAATCTTTTAAAACAATTTGCCCATTTTTGGAACTTCTCAGTGGCATAATATTAGTTTGCTAAATGCATTTGTCATTTCTTTTTCCAAAGGCCACACACCAAGGCAGACTGATGAAAAGAGATGACAGGCTACTCCCGAGGAGTCGTTGGAGTAGCCAATTGCCTGAAAAAATAGATGCTCGGGTCGCATTCTTCACACTGCATATCCTGCGACACAAAACAATCATGCCAACCCCCTCCCCCCCAAAAAACCCACCATAACAAAGGCTGCCCGCTGACCAAAATGCAAACATGCTCCAAGCACTAGCAAAGCAGCAGAAAGAAGCCACGCAGACGTCTTTGGCACACAAGGAGAAGGTAATTACAAGATGCCTGAAAACGAAAAAGGAACAGAGGCAACACAAGTGCTTGCATCAGCAACACTCAATAAACAGTTACCTGGAACTTGCTTGTCCTTTCAGTTCTTAACTAGAGAGAGAGAGTGTGCATGTGGAACAGGACAGAACAGAGGAAAAAAACCCAGTTAATATAGGGAAGGCAGGAGCAGATAAAAGGATCCATTAGTGGGGAGGGAGAGGGAAACAGACACAGAGAGGGACACATTTCTTGTAGGAGCAGGATTCTGACCAACCAGAGCACACGCTGGATTGCATCCACTGGACCAGGGCCTAAACGCTTTTGTTTGAAAAGGTGCAGCCATTCAAAGGCGTTTTGGAAACATGTTGCCCGAGTCTGAACCCCTCTGTGATGTTTGCCTTCCCTGATATCCCGAAGCAGCCCTGCTCCCTGGGCACAAAGGCAGCTAGTTATCAGGCGGGGGGAGGGGGGCAGGGGAGCAGCACACCGCTCCCACACCGCCAGGACACACAGAAATGGCAGAGCACACAAGCAGGGCAAGGAAAACCAGCAACAGGCGAGATGTCTCAGACAGGCAAGGGGCAGGTTCCTGCGGGTTTCTGGGTGTTCCCCAGTCATCTGATCAATCCAGCCACAGTCCCTAGGTGATATTGGGGGGGGGGGGTCAATCAGCCTCGTGGTCTAGCTGCATGAAAGCAGAGACAATCTCGCTGGTTTCTAGGAGGACTGATCAGTAGCTTCCCATTTCTCTCTCCAGCCCTTTTCCTGCCAGGTAGAAGCAGCCTCAAGGGCCCAAATCTTCCATTGAGGTCAGCGTTCCTGGATCAGGCCCACATCAGCTTGTTGCCTGGACTGCCCTGGGGAAGCCAAGGACCCTGGACGCTTGCAGAGCCCCTGCACACTGACTCCAGGCCAAGTCATTGGGCTGCAGGATGGGCAGAAGTCTCCCCTCCACACATCCCTTTGGTAGATCTGCCCAGTGCAGGGGCCGAGTGTGCTAAGCTTTGACTTCATCCTAGCTCAGTGATGGGCGGCATAAGATGGCTGTTTAGTGGCCTACATGCCAGCAGGGGGAGGGACATCCCAGTCTGGTTTCTACAAGGCAAATGACCCCAGGAAAAAGGCCCCATCAGCAGTACTGGTCGTTATTGCTGTGGGTGCTCAGAAGCGCCCGAGGGCTGTTCCATAAAAAATCAACTCTCCTCTTGCCCGTTCACTCTGTTTGGTCAGTATGGGCTGAGGCACGGTAGCATGGCAAAAGCCAAGGCTCAGGCTGCTGCCGCTAGGGCTCTCCTTAGTCTGGGTCCAAGCAGAGGCCTTCAGTTGCCTGTCCCACCCTCCCAGCTCCTTTAATCAGGGCAACGTTTATTTCTGAAGTGTTGCTAGATGTAGCCTGCTAGCTCCCTACATGTCCTTGCGCATTGCACTGACATAGGACGTAAATGCAGAAAACTTCCAGCTTATGCAACTCCAGCTTTTGGTCACTAGCTCAACACCATCCAATCCAAGTAACTTTCTTATTCTTTTGAAACTTAGCAGTTCTACGTTGGAGAGGTCAGGTGGATTTAATCAGATTTCAAATCTAAGTTAAAATATTTGTTCAGTGACTTAGGGTTTGTTTCCACAAGGGGGTGGATCAACGCTACAGTGATCGATCCACCAGCAGTCAATTTAGTGAGTCTAGTGAAGATCCACTAAATTGACGATCGATCACTCTCCTGTTGACTCTCCAGCAGAATGAGATAAGTCAGAGGAGTCAACAGGACAGCATGTTTCCCACGGTAAGTAGGTCTACCATGCATTGATTGGAATTACACTACTAATGTAACTCAAAATGTGTAGCTTTGATCGACCTATCCTTGTAGTGTACACCTGTCCTTAAGAGGCTGGAGGAAGAGGGTGGCCACAATGGTGTCATGTCACATCTCTTGGAGCTTATGAGAACTTGATACACATGAAGGCTGTGTCTAGACTGGCCAGTTTTTCCGGAAAATCAGCCGCTTTTCCGGAAAAACTTGCCAGCTATCTACACTGGCCGCTTGAATTTCCGCAAAAGCACTGACTTCCTACTGTAAGAAATCAGTGCTTCTTGCGGAAATACTATGCTGCTCCTGTTCAGGCAAAAGTCCTTCTGCGCAAAACTTTTGCGCAAAAGGGCCAGTGTAGACAGCTCAGATTTGTTTTCCGCAAAAAAGCCCCAATCGCGAAAATGGCCATCGGGGCTTTTTTGTGGAAAAGCGCATCTAGATTGGCACGGACGCTTTTCCGCAAAAAGTGCTTTTGTGGAAAAGCGTCCATGCCAATTTAGACACTCTTTTCCGAAAACGCTTTTAACGGAAAACTTTTCCATTAAAAGCATTTCTGGAAAATCATGCCAGTGTAGACACAGCCGAAGAGTTCTGCAGTTTTGTTTAATTTCATCTTCTGATGCTTGGTGATAAAACATCATCCAGATGTTCAGAGCAGATCAATTTAAAACAAAATTAAAAACTGAAATAAAAAAAAATACTAGCAGCAGCCTAATTCCATCTTGGCTTCACGTCTAGAAGTGCTCCAGGTTTTGGCTGGGGCTCTCACAGGAGCCTGCTGTGAAATGTAATGGGAGCGGGCAGTAATATTTTCAAAGTACCTAACTGACTTGTTTCTGAAATTTCACCCTGGATATCTAACTGCCTTAGCGGCTTTACACTCCCAGGCACACAACCTTAAGGTGGCAGACGGCAAAGCCTGGGAATAGTATGGTCTGAAAAAAAAAATCTTTCTGTTTTAATAATCTACAGCAGTAGCGTGATGTGCAAGATCTTTTTTTACAGAAGATACAGGGTTGTTTTTAATCTTGACAGCGTCCTTTCAGAGAATGAAAGGGCACAGCCATGGTAGGTACGCACCTTGCAAACACACAAATGTTTCACTCTAAAGCGGGTGTGTAAGTGGCACTGAAATCACTTGCGTAAAGTTAAACGTGTTTCAGTGTTTGCGTGATAGGGGGCCGTATAGATTCATGGGGTTTAAGGCCAAAGGGGACTAGTCTGACCTCCTGCATTTAGCCCAGAACTAGCAGCTGAAACAGAGACTAGCCAGCTCGGTGGCTTTCAAACTAGGGGTCGTGGCCCAGCACTGGGGGGTGGAATGGCAGGTGCTGGGTCTCGCTGCAGGAGGATCAGGTGAGCAGTGGGGGGGCAGCTCCCTGCCTGTCCTGGCACTGCAGACTGCACTGGGTTCCAGTGGCCGGCAGCAGGCCTGGCTCCTAGGTGTGTGGGTGTGAGAGCGCAACCCCCCCCCCCAGCTCCCCAGGCACTTGCTCCACACTCCCATTGGCTGGGAACCTGCTGCTGGCTGCTTCTGGGTGCCGCATGGTGTGTGGTACCAGTAGGGGCAGGAAGCTGCCTTAGCCCCCGCTGCACTGCTGACCGGGAGCTGCTCAAGGTAAGCCCCTCCTGCCCCAGCCCTAACACCCGCAAGGCCGCAGCCCCCTCCTACACCCCAAAGCTCCATCCTCAGCCCCGCCCCGGAGCCCACACTATGGGCTCACATTATGTTGGGTCCTGGCATCAACAATTTTCTTCACCTAGGTCACGTGAAAAAAAGTTTGAACCCCCTGCTCTGGACTGTAAGCTCCTCGGGGCTGGGACTGTCTAACTGTGTGTATATACAGTGCTGTGCACAGCGAAGTCCTTAGCCTGCTGCGCCCCCGCACTCTACTGCAATACCAATCACATGAGGAGGAGGAGAATTAGGGTGGCCAGCAGTGTTGCTTCCCCCATTCAATTTCTAGGCGATGCTCTGGTTGGAGGGAGAGGGGTTTCAACATTTACTTAGTATCACACTCTAATCAGAAAGTCTCCACGCCACATTCACGGATGGGTGAGCAACGGCACATGGTTCGCTAGGTATGGAAAGAACCAGCCTACGACAGACACAGCTAGGGGACAAGCCCATCACATTTATGCAGAAATGTTTTTCTTTCACTGAAAACCAAAATGCGCTACGAGGGCAAAATAAAAAGGTGGGAGCTTCTAGAGGGAGGCGCTATGAGGAAGCCAAGGCAATGAGATGATCTAAGGCAAACGGGGTGAAGAAAATCTGGTCTTACCAGTAAAGAATATAGGGGATTTACTTCGAATTTCCTCCAATTTTTGAACGAACAAGGCATTCATCTCCCTCTGAAGGGTGCCCACTTGCCTTCGGGAATTCTCAGAGCAGCGCTTGGGGAATTCGGGGCTTCCAAGGCTCTCTAGGCTGCTGGAGTTGGAGGATATGGAGCCATTGCTAGCTGTCACCAAGTTGACAGTGCTTCCATACTTGCCACCTGATTGGCACTGCCACCTCTGCCGGGGATGAGCTTTCATCCCGTGACACTTAGTTTCACCGTTTTTCTTCCCTGGAGTCACAAAGGGCTGAGTGCTCCTTGGTTGGTCACTGACCCCTCCGAGGCTGCTGCAAATCTGCAAGTCTGACCGGGGTCTAGGTTGCTCTACTATTCCCCAATTTTTTAGTTCTAACCTCTCGTCTCCCACGAGACTGCTATACTGATCGCGGTGCAGCGTCTCTTTAGCGCTCGGCCTGGCCACCGGGTCACTCCACTTGCATTCTAGATCGGGGCTCTCCTTGCAACCAATCATGCATCTCATGCAATTGGTTGCCACTCCAATCCTACCGGAGCCATTGATGGCGCACCGTGCAAAGACGCTCTGTTTCTCGTCCTGGTGCTCCTGGAGACGGACCCTGTTGGACCTCCGGGTGGGCTCGCTGAAAGCTGCACCCCCAGGAGTACGAGCTTGGGGTTTACCTTTACCAGAACCATGGGCCTTACCTTTCAACCCTTTGCCATGTACCTCCCCATTGGCCCCCACTCCGGGAGCCAGCGTTGGAGAGGAGCTTTCCGGCTCTTTGTCAAAGCGAGGCTGGGAAGAATCTTCCAGTTCACGGTCTTCACTGGCCCCTTCCGAGCTATTGTCTTTGGTGTCGATAGCAATCTCGGGAAAGCCTTTCTTGGTCTTCTTCTGGCTCTTGGTGGGGGCGCTGGCTGTCCGCCGTAAGATGTGGCTGCTAAAGGAGTGTTTGCGATGGAGTTGACCAGCAGCATGACTGTCTAGAGAGGCCTGTTTTGGATTTCTGAGAAAGAGACCTTTTAAGCCCAGAGCTTGCTTGACCTGGAAAATAAAAGAAACCCCCGTAATAGAAGATGTGCTTCTCCACCCCGGCGCACAAGTCCTTGAGGTGCACTAACGTGCAAAGGAGTGTTCTTCCCCCAGTTCCTGCCAAATTGTCCCTGCCCAGCACCAGCCCAGGCTGAAAAGTGGGGGGAGGAGGAAGGCAAATGATTTGGCAGAATTTTGTTGCTTTTTTTCATTAAAATGTTATTTCACATTTTTCCAACCAGGTTTATCCCTTTATTAATAGCCTTGCCTTTGGCTTTATTTTTGCACGAATAATCGTTGTATTAGCACTACACATCTCCTCACAAGGAAATCCACAGGGGCAAGATATGGGGTGGGGACCTGAAATCTGGAAGGCACAGAGGCCTGGTCTACAGTAGATCAGGAAGGTCGGCTTAAGGTACACAACTCTGGCTATGTAAAATGTGTAGCTGAATCGGCTGACTTTAAGCCGAGCCTTGGCAGCATCCACACAGTGGGAGGCCAACGGGAGCAAACACTCTTGTCAGCTTCCCTTACTCCTCGCAAAAGGAGGAGTAACGGATGCTGGTAGGAGCTGCCCTCAGCATTTGATTTACAGGTCTATACTAGACCTTCTAAATCAAATGCCAGAAGATTGACCTCCGGAGCATCGATCTTCCGAGAAGTATAGACGTGCCCAGAATGTCCCAATGCCTGCTGAAAGCCACAAGCTTTGGGGTACCCAGAAATGTACAGCCTTGGGGCTCCTAAGGATGAATTTCAAGGAACTTTCCCAAAATACGAGTTGTTGTTTTACTGTCTGCATGCCACAGATGGCGAGTCAGCCTTCCCTTCCAATGTGATCTGCAAGTGGAAATGGTTCACACCCACAGGCTCATTAGGAGGATGCAGTTGCGGAACAGAACTTGGCGGGAGAGGAGAAGAGGCCATCCCTGGAACACGGGGTAAGTAGAGATTTACAAATGTGTTGTAAGGCTGCTGCTTTCCTTTGCCAAAATAAAACTTCTTAAAGTTAATTTATATTTAATTTGAACAAACCCTGAAAGTGTTTTAATGTTTAGCCAAACGTTAGCACTAGTAACGCCAAATTTTAACAAAACATACTACGAAGGTACATTATTACAGCAACTTTGAACGTCTCCGGTTGCCCTGAGATGCCAGTTTCTTGAGTCCCACAATGATGGCACTCAACAAACAGACACTGTCATTCCACCTGTAATGGTGACAGCAAAGCACAGTGATGGTTATGACATTAGGGTCGAATCCACCTCCTATGGCAGCCCGCAGGGTTCTTCCACTGGCCTCAATGGGAGTTGGATGAGAAACTTAAAAAAAGTACCGAGTATTGTGAGTTACTTGCTAGGTAGAGCTCTTTCACAGTCTATTGCTGTATCCAGTAACCCTTTCCCTGCCTCTCCTATGCAAAGCTTCCTAGAAAAGGGAGCGGGTAGGTGCTGGCTCATATTCAGCAAGATGTCAGCTGTGTGTGTCCAGGGATCAGCCTGCTGTTCTGTTACCGCAGCGCTATCACGTAGCTGGCTTATCTGATGTCCCTTCCCCCTCCAGCCAGGCCAAACACTGGTAACTGGCTCTGCTACAGGACAGTGGGAAGGGGGAAAGAGCCCCTCAGGGCTGGCGGTGTCAATTTGTGAGCCTGGACACTGCATGGCACTGTTTAAAATCAGAGGCTCCCTGGGTCTCAGTGGACCTCGCCTCATTGGGCCAGCGCTGACAGCACAGACTTAGCCAGCCTCTCTCAGGGTTCTTTCCTTTCACCCTCGTCCTGGGCCACCTCTCCCTTGGCTATGGGCCAAGGCCATTCCCCTTGTGCCAGGTGCCACCAGGCCAGGCCCACGGAGGAGAGTGAAAGCATTTATACTGCAATACAACTTTTGTCAGGAAAAACACCTAGGTTTGGTGACAAAAAACTTCCAGGCCTGTGGGAGACTTTTGTCTTTTCCCCTCCAGAGTCCCTGTGGACTCTGCTGTTTGTTTGTTGAGAGAACTTGACTTCCTCCAGTATCCCACAATTCCGTCCTTGATGGTTCTGCTCAGTGTTTTGTGATCTCTGCTGCCCTGCAGGCCTGCACCCCTCCTCCCCCTTCAAAGCTCCAGGAAGTATCTGACAGCTGAGTGAGCTGTTCCGTTTGGAGACAGCAAATCACTGGAGTGTTCCGGCTCTGCCCTGCTAGGAGCACAGTGGCAGGCAGAAGCATTCCAGAGAACTCCGAGAGAATCCCAAGACGCGCAGGGCTCAGCTCTGCCTTCCCACAACTCTGCACAGTGGGATGCTTCCCCACAATGCTTTGCCCTAGCTGTCAGCAGGGTGCTAGCTACGTGGCCATGAAATGTCGACAATGAGAGGCTGAAAAACCAGTCTGACCATTTTTCACTTTTGCATGTCAACAGCACTTGTGTCACCAAACCTGCCCAGTGTCGACACGGCTCTAGCCTAGATCAGAAAACCCAATACGTTTTTTTTTTAAAGTCAATGACAAATGATGGTTTTGCTATTATATGTCACCTGTAATACTGGAAACCCTGACACAACCGCACTGGACAAGAACCAGGCAGTGAAAGTGAACAGAAATAGGGGGCCTGAATTGCCACTGCCTTTCATCTTGTGCTGTCAGTTCACGGCTGTGCAGGAGAGGCGTTCTAAGGCTTCCAGTCAGAATTCTCCCCCCTGACACTGCACAGGAGTAACTGAGCACACGACAGGAGACAGTCAGGGTCCAAAGCAGAACCGAGAGGCTCAGAACACCTGACACGCGACAGCTGAAAGCGCAAACAGAAATGGAGTCAAGTTAAAGATGTACTTTTAACACGCATTCCAATTTTAATCGTCCAAGGCAATGCTCAGTAACATGGGTGAGGTTTCTCTTTTAATCAGACAAGGCCCCTTCAATTTAAAAAAACTGCATTCCTCATTAACAACAAACAAACAAACAAACAAAACCGCCCTGTCGTTTAAATTGATCTTTACATTGTTTCGTAACTGTAGGGAGGTCTAAGATGGCTTTAACAGGCTACGTTTTGTTCTACAGCTTAGAGAACGCTTATTATAGTAGCACAGAGGCGACCAGGTCCCAAGCACTTGAAATGTTCCAGTCTCCAGGAGAGATTCCGCCCCTCCCCACCCATCTGATGGCATTAATCAATTCCACCTCATCCAACGTCCCTCATGCACATTTTCATCTTTGGAGAAACACATTAGAAATAAGCGCAGGCAGTCAGAGCCGTAATACATACTTGTTAATGCTTATCCAAGTATCAAACACAAGCAATTCCCCGCATCCTCCCCCTTCTGATTTACAAGTAAGTGACTTTTACAAAGTTTCTGCATTCTTGTAAACATTCCAGGTGCACTTGCCAACTTTGTAAGTACCAAGCTGCTCAGGCATAAGGAAGGGCGCCTTTGGTTTTGACTCTGTGTTCGGAGCATCTTGCATATAATTTGCTTCTCTTATCTGCTTTAGGAATTTCTCCTCTCCCTGAACTCTGTCATGTTTGCAGTTTGATTAGACTCCCCTGCAGTAGCAGGTAATTTCTTTCCTCTGTTTGGAGTGTAAAGAGGAGGCCACCTGCTCTTATCACAGGTTCCACACGGCAGCTCTTGACATTTATTAGCGATGAGGTGAGGTTGCAAATGACTCAGTGTCCCCACCAGTAGAAGATAGCTTGCAATCACTTTGCATCCTTTGCCCTGGAATGTCACAGCCAAGGTCACATTTCAGCAATAACACTTATAAGGGTATATCTACGCTACAGCATTATTTCAAAATATCTTATTTAGAAATAGCTAATTCGAAATAAGTTATTTCGAAATAACGCCTCTACACACAAAATGCATTTTGCTATTTTGAAATAGTGTGTCCACACTGAGTGGACGCTGAATCGCATTTAAGGCCAGCTGGAACCAGGTCCGGCAGGGCATCAGGTCAGGAGATACTTTGTGTGGCTGCTGCCTGGGCTATCTGAGGCCTGTGCTTAAAGGGACCCCCCTGGACAGCCGGTTCTCAGCTTTCCTTGCTTGCTTGCCTACCTTGATGAGGGACAGCAAAGCATTTTGTCTCTGCGTACTCTGATTGCCCTCACTCGGGACACCACAGCACTCGGCAACATGGAGCCAGAGCTGCCCCTGGGCACTCTGGTGCATCTCGTGGATGCGTTGCTGCGAGCCTGGCTGCACTTTCTACAGGCTGCCAGCCGGGAGGTCCATCGGGGGACTATCAATATCCAGGAGGCCCTGCAGGAGAGCTTCCACCCTGAGAAGCACTAAGAACCTCCCTGGTCTGCCCCACTGGGGGCTTCTGCCTCATTCCTCCCTCACATCCTTCCACTTACACCTCCCTAACCCCCTTCCTGATGTAAAATAAAATACACGTATTTTCATAAACACAAACTCTCTTAATTTAACAAAACTGGGGTGGGGGAAATGAAACTCTAGTGGGGCTGGGGAAAGGAGGCAGGAGAGGGGAGAAGAGAGGGTGGGAGAGGGGAGGGGGAAACCTGGGAAGAGGGATCTGGAAGAGGGAAGCAATGGGAAGAAGGGGGAGGGGAAACTCAGGGCTCAGGGTTGGGGGTCTCGCCGGACCAACTTGATTTTCATGCAAACCTGCTCCCGGGTTCACATGTGGCCTTTGGTGGCCAGGCCGG